CACAGTTCTACTCTGCCATACACGGGGTCTCCATGAGATGGAATTAACTCAACAGCAATTAACAACAACTTTTTTCTTCTATTTCTTCTTTATGTCATAGCTTTATATTGATTTTTTAAAACTTATGTGTGCAGGTAGCTTATATTATATATAAATTTTATAACAAGTTATTATAGAAGGTATTTTAAAATATTAAACTATTGTTAATCATAAAAATGAGTGATAAATATATAAGCAATACTAGTTATAAAAAGGGACCCTGTGTCCCAGTGATGAGGCAGAGGAAAGCCCCCGAAGGACATTAAACAGGGGCAGTGGGCCCTGACTTAGGTCCTAAGTTTCTCCCTTTCTGGAAGCAGAACAGAAACCAGAACTTCAGTGATCCAGACGATCTCAATAATTATAGGGTTGGAGAGAAAGGGTCAGATAATTTTATTAGCTTTTTTACTTGAAAACCTCACCAAAAAAGTCTTCTGTAGAAAACTCTAGAATGCCTTCAGATTATTTTACAAAGTAAAGCCCTTCCCAGGAAGTATTTCCTAATGTGGAAGATGATGTTTTAAATACCATTTTTTCTTACTACACTAAATATTTATTTTAAAATAGCGGGACCTGCTTTCATCCTTTCATCTTAGAATCCATTTCCTGGTCTTTATAATTACATCTACCACATCTCATGAGTTTCTTCAGTGGAGAATTCCCTTCTAGATCCTTCAAAGTTGAGTGGAACAGTTCATGGTTTACATGAAGATCCAAAGCGCGTCATGCAATGAAATTGCCTTGTCGCATCATGCGACGCACTTCATAGGAACATGTATTTTATGGTATTGCATTTTCTTCTCAATGGCAGTAAAAATAAAAGGAAACAGTTTGTGACTATGGATGTAGTAACTAGCAGGACAAAATGAAAACTTATTTTTGGATATTACAAACGTAAATTCAGAAATTCTAAGGCCCTTTGATTTCTCCTAGCTCCTGTCATTTTCTGGTTTGTTTACGGTCTATCTGCTCCTGAAGTGAGTCACCCGTGAAAACAAGGCTGCTTGACCACAGGGTGTCAGTCCCCAGCACGGCGCCTGCCCTCAAGGCAAGTGAGCAATACATATTTGGTGATTAAATTGCTCTATTTGTACCTGACCCTTCCTTTCATATCTGGAGGGAATAATAATGGCTACAAGTTACCCAGTACTTTCCATGGGCCAGGCCCTGTGCCAGGCATTTTAATCCTTATAACAACCTTTCAAGGTCGGAATTATTGTCCATATTTTACAGATGAGGAAATATCTATCTTCCTATTCACCACATAAGCAAGCCTGGGGGTTTACATGCAATCACTAACTAAATATAGGTTGAACTAAATTAGCTTTTAACCTCATCTGCTTTTCCAAACAATGGCCAATTCAGCTGTACTAACCACAGGTTGGTGATCTCATTAGTACTTCTCTTCAGGCCTCGCTTCTCAGTCTCTTTGGTCAACAAACATTTGCTGAGCACCTGTTCTGGGCAAGACCCCGAGCTGGGAGTCACAAAGAAGTCACTCAGGCTCAGCCATGTGCGGAGGTCCTAGAGGGCAGGAAGCCTCATTCCCCCGGATCACTGCTCCATATGTGAGGGTAAGTCACGCAGCTGGTTCGGAAACACTGTCCTCCATGACTGAGGCTCACACGTAGCAGTGGTCCTCCAGGGCTGCACACTGCAATCATCTGGGAAGCCTTAACCACCCACACCCGGGTTCTAGCCAAGCAACTGTGGTCAGCTTTCGGCCGGGCTTTAAAAGCTCCCTCGCCCCTCCCCCCAGCCTCCCCAGGTACTTCTAAGGCTGAGAACGAGGGTACCCGGGGCCTACGGGGTTGCAGATGTTTGCCACTGGATAACTGAATGAATCACATGCAAGTCAGGCTGGAGGAAGCGTGGTTGAGAACTGCCCTGGTCAATGACCAGGGCCTGGTTACTTCCCT